AATACCTTTGGAGTGTCAACACTGACTTCTGTTATAAAAGACTCTGATCTATGCTCTTGAACATCAGATTCAAACTTGACTGTGGGTGAGCCAAAGGTTTACGAACGTTTTATAGAACCACCTTTCCATGCTGTTTCTATTAGTTTCTCCCAGCATTTCCAGGGTCCTCCTAGTCTCAAGCTAGAGAATCACGTCATTTACTTGTATTGAACACTTCTTATCACTGAGTTAACCGTCAAGTTTCAAAGAGAGAAAATGAGTCATGAAGCATCTCTCCACTAACTCTCCTTCATTTGTCATGAAATGCACAAGTGTTGATTGAGCCCCAAAACAGGCACCGACAGACATTTAGCTGAATTGTGTCTCTCTGTTCTTGTGAGGACCTGGTCGGAGGAATCCCTTTCTTAGAGTAGTGTGTGTGTTTGGAGTTGACATCATCAACACCTTGCTTGAATCTAAAGCTTCAAAACAACAGAATACGTACAGGCTTACAAAGAAGCATGGGAAGAATAGAAGGAAACTACAAATAGAAAGGAAGCAGAAAACACAACCCCAGGGATGGACTTAGTTATATTTTATACAGTAAGGAGAAAAGTTATTTGTAAATTACATTTGCTTACGTACTTAATGTATGTATGGGTGTACACCTCCCTGTCCACTCCTGTGTATGAGTAAGGGTATATGTGTATGCGTGCGAGTACACACACTCACAGCTCTTGTGTGGAGGTCAGAGAATAACTTAGAGGCTCTCTCATTCTACCATGTAGGTCTGGAGAGTCAAGCTGAGGACTTCTGGCTTGGCCCCAAATACCTTTTACCACTGAGCCACCTTGCCAGCTCAAGAGTTCTTACTGTTTTTACCTAGGATATACATAGATTAGGCTTCATTGTAGTGTAACCAGGAATTCAGTATAGGATCATCTGTGTTCTTGTTTCCTCTTTTTAAAATGTTGTTATTATTAATTTTTGTTTCTTTTTGGGAGAAGGTCTCACTGTGTATCTCTGGCTAGACCATGACTTCGAATTCAATAGGAATTCGACTGCTTCTGCTTCCAACATCCTGGGATTAAAACATTCCTGGCCTTTATTTATTTATCCTTTCTTAATGCACCTACTGCTATCTCTAGATACTCAGACAGTTGCTCTACCAATTCTTGTGAATTTGGTTCTATTCTGATTATGAATGCTTTATCTTAATACAAAAAATATAATTTCCAAATATTAATTGCATTACCACTTATAAATTATGTCTTCTGTTTTGCACAGTATTAATCCTAAATATGGAGTTGTTCAGGTTATGTACTTCCAACTATTTTCATAAAATGCCTCAGATTTTCTTTAAGAAGTACCATTCCTGCTTCTCTATTGGCATTTAAAATACACGTGTGTCTACAGGGAGATGAGAAAGTTAAGTTCATATAAAGATTCTGGATACTTGGTCTACTGTGAAGACTGCATTTATATCATGAGGGTTCTATTTATCTGAATTCTAAGGGCAGTTACAGCCAACTTGTATTCCTAACACAGCTGAAGAGGCACGGATTTACTCAGTTGTGCATTTGCAAGGTAGCAGGGAAGTATTAGTCTACACACATGGATGTGTGGAAAGGGCAGCCTCTTCATCACAGAGAAATTACAACTAGTGAATGTAAATGGGTATTGATACTCAATGATTATAAACAAATTTAAGTGGATTCAGAATGAAGATGAACCTTTTAGGAAAAGTGTTAAATGCCCCTTTTACAGGCTGAAATTCAAATGACTTTTTATATATAGGAGCATTTTATTAATTTTTCTTTCAAGACATCTCATAGATTTCAGTGAACTTCAAGCACTATGTAGCCAAGGATGACCTTGAACTGCTGAAATGCCTGCCTGCTCCTCCTGGATGCTGGGATTACAGGTGAGTTACACTGTGCCTGCTTGGGACAGGGTTCCTCTGCATATCAACCCTGTCTGTACTCAAACTCACAGAAATCTGCCTGCCTTTGCCTAGAACGCTGGGATTAAAGGCGCGAACCAACACTGCCCAGCATGTGCCTGTGTTTTGCGATATGGTCTTCCCTCTGTGTTTAGAAGACCTTAACTGGTCTACTCCTGTAATCAGATTGATGAACACCCCAACTATCATCATAGAACTCGCATCCAGTAATTGATGGAACCAGATGCAGAGATCCACAACCAAGAACCAGGCCTGAGAGAGGGAGGAGGAAATATACCAGCAAGCGAAGTCAAGGTCATGATGGAGAAATCTACAGGAGAGCAAAGCTTGTGGGAACTCCTGAACTCTAGACCAACTATTGTGGAGACTCCAGGGAGGCAAACTCAGCCCTCCACATGTGGGAGAGAGTTGTGAAGCTATGTTATGGTGGAAACTTCACCCCAGCCCCTGGCATCCATATACCCAAAGAGTCTGGAATGTTATGGTGGAAGCTCCACTAAGTTCCCCTCCCCTAAATCCCTCCCATCCCTGCTGCATCCCAGAAATGCCACCAAATGATGACCCCTCCCCCAGAGATGCTCAAGACCACTCCTACAGGGTATTTTAACTGCACCCCCACACACACACACATCTCTCTTTCAGGTCTCCTCTCTCAGGGACTGGAAAACCATCCTGGAGCCTTGTATCCTCTAAATGTCAACTTTTTTCTAATTTGGTTTGATTTGGTCTGACTTGAGTTGCTGCATCAGCAGAGAGGCTTATCAGGGTGCAGAAACTTTTCAGCTTGGACTATGAGACAGGCCCCGGAAGTAGGACCACATACAACCTGGTACATGAGCTAGCTTGTTGGAGCCCATTCCCTGTGGTCGATGCCATGCTAGGTCTTAATGCATGGGAGAGGGAGGGGCCTGGTCCTGCCCCATCCTATTGTGTCAGACTTTGTTGACTCCTCATGGAAGCCCTTACCTGTGAGGAGGAATGGACTGAAGGTAGGCTAGGTGGCAAGGTGGGGGCATGGGGAGAACTGTTATTAGAATGTAAAATGAAATTTTAAAAAATGAAGAAAAAAGAAAGATCACCTAAGTACTGGCACTCACAGATGAAATAGATAAACTAGACTTTCTATCTAAACTTTATTTGGCTTTCTTTAGTGCTGAACCTTTTTTTTAAAACTTGTCCCCTGACTAAATAGAACATTGGTTTTCAAATTTCCTAATGCTGTGACCCTTTAATACAGCATTGTGTGGTGACCCCCCAACCATAAAAAATATTTCATTGCTACCTCATAACTGTAATTTTGCTGCTGTTATGAATCGTAATCGTAAGTCTGATATGTGACCCCAAAGGGGTCAGGACGCACACAGATTGAGACCTGCAGAGCTAGAGCTTCCATTGTGATTCCTTCATGTTTTAGGCAACTTTTTCTACCCACCCACCCAAGCGTTCGGTTGTGTAATTCCGGACCTTGACAGTTTTCAGTGTTTCATTTCCTTCATGAAAGCTGTAGCCCCGTCGCCCTGTCTTTCAGCTTCAAGCTGGTCCATGTCCTCGACTTCCTTCCTTCTCCTTTTCCCCTTTAAGCCTATCAAATTAGTGCAGCATCAAAGAGCCTGGCCCTTTGCCTACTCTGTAGCTCTGTGGGGGGCTGTTGGAAAACTTAGCTCAACTGTTTATGCTCTTATGAGTGCATTTGCATTTTAAAATGAGCTTGCAAGACAGGTTAGTTCTTTATCTTGAGAAGAAGTCCTACTTTTGTTTATTTCAATTTGCTAAGAGTCAAGGGGCCAGTGTGAGGCAGAGGCCCCTGAAAAAATAAAAGGTACCCCTCCTGCTAAGGATTTTAACTTTGATGGGGTCATCGGACTGGGGTGGAGATACCTGGAACGGTGCAGGGCACGGTATACAATACTGTAAGGAAAATACTTATAAAATCAGAGAAGTGGGCAACAGAACATTATCATATTTCCTTAAAATGCATCTTCAGTTTGTCCCCGGGATCTGAGTTCATTAAAACTTGTCACCACTGGCACAGCAGAAATCATCGGGGTGGTTTGGAAAGAGATTCTGTGTTCCAAGATGCAGTGTCAGCCTGGTCCCACAAGCAACCATTGCAGTTGATTACAGGTGTGCATTGCATGCTTTGGTTGAAACTGTAGAAAAGCATAATAGTGTATGCGGAACAATAAAGTTACAGAAGTTTTATGAGAAAGGGGATTCCAGGGGCTGGAGAGATGACTCAGAAGTTAAGAGCACTGACTGCTCTTCCAGAGGTCCTGAGTTCAATTCCCAGCAACCAAATGGTGACTCACAGCCATCTGTAATGAGATCTAGCACCCTCTTCTGTCATGCATGAAGGAAGAATACCATATACATAATAAATAAATAAATCTTTAAGAAAAAGAAAGAAAGCGATTTTATGGCTATGCAAATTTAGAAAATGCATAAATTCTCTTCAAGATTTAGGATGTCCCTAACTAAACCAAAGGCACTGGTTTACTCCATAGTTTTGTTTTGTTTTGTATTGTTTTTAAAATTAATTGTCTTTAGTCAAACATTTCCAAGTTGACTTCACACATGTTTTCACCATGTGAGTCCCTTTATATCCTAGAGAATAAATGGAAACCATTCTGGTCACTCTTGCCTATCTATTGGCTGAGACACATTCTGGAGCTTTTGCCAATGCCCACATGCATGGTGGCAGTCTGAATGAAAATGGTCCCCAGTGGCTTATAGAGAATGGAACTATTGGGAGACATATTCTTGTAGTAGATATAACTTTGATGGAGGAAGAGTGTCACAGGGGGTGGGCTTTAAGGTTTCAATTGCTCAAGCCAGGACCAGTGTCACTCTGCTCTTCCAGCTGTCTGCCAACTCAGACGTAGAACTTGTGGCTACCTCTCTAGCACCATGTCTGCCATGATCCCTATCATGATGATGATGGACTGAACCTCTGAAACAGTGCGTCACCCCAATCAAATGTTTTCCTTAGAAGAGTTAACTTGGTCATGGCTCTCTTCACAGCAATAAAACCCAAATTAAGACACTCATGAACACATTATACTGTAGAATTTCTTTCATAAAATATTCAAGTGTGATTTGTACCCCATCAAAACAGGCACCAAAATAGATTTGGTTGAATTGGTTTCCTGTGCTTGTGAGAACCCAGTAGATGTAGCCATATTACGAATTTCCCATGCCTTCACCAAACTAAACACTAAACTCTTCAACTTTTCCAGCTTTTTTGGTTTCACACATTATTTTATTGCTTTATTTACTAGCAGGGAGTGGTTGTGAGATCAGTTCCTCTCTTTGCCTGTTTCTCCTGATCTCCATATCACTGTCTCTGCCTCCCTGCCCCTCAACCATCCCAAACCTTTTGAGTTCCAGGTTTATTATTTTGTCTTTTCTGGAGCAATGAAGTAGATTGAAAGCTCTTGAGGTACTATGTGTATCTCTGAGGGGAATTATGTAAGTGAAAAATAATGATACATTATTATACTATTAACTCTTAATAACTGCCAGTGATGAAGAGCTTAAAGGAATGTAGATAACACAGGAGAAATGTATTTGAAGTTGAATACAAATAGTTTGCTTCTCGATGGCCTTGGACAAGCGGTCTTACATTTCTATGATGTTTGTCTGTCCTCCTTGTTTGCTGAATAAAGGAATGACAGTTGGAAAGCACTGAAATAAGGTGTGCAAAATGTCTGCAACTTAGCAAGTAGTCAAAGCAGTTGTAATCAGATAGAACAGCGCCATGGCTGGAACAACATTAAAATGTGTTATTGTAAATGTCTCCTGTGCTTACCCATACAGGCAGCAAGGCTAGGGCATGGTTTCTTTCATCAACATCTGTAACCAAATTCAGATGATGCCATTTAAAACATTCAATAAACATCTACTCGGCCTTCTTTTTCAGCACTGACTAAAATCTGGAAGCACACAAAGAATAGACCCCTCTGGGTAGAAGAAAGAGGAAACTCATTTTCCACACTTCTTGTGTCTTCAAATAGTACCAAGCTTTTCTTTCAAAAAGGTATCTGAATGTCAACTTCTACATCTTCCTAGTTAGGTCACCACTCTGACCTAGAAAAAAAAAGAGAGATTTTTTTTTTTTACTTTTGTTGTGTTTTAGTAAATAATTAAAATTATTTACTAAGTAAATAGGAAGGGTTTAATAGCAAGTGACTCACAGAATCAAGTGTGTGTAGGGGGTGTCACACACCCATTTTCTGAAATGCAAGGCAGTCTTCCTTTCTCCTGGCATCCTTTGGGTGACCTCTCAGGTGCTCTCTATCTGACCTGAAACAATAGGAACTGTGACTTAAGCACAGTAGTGGAAATCTCCATGTTTAATCCACCCTGGTTCACCTTCCCTGTTTTGTGGCAGGGAGATGGGACCTAATCTCTACAACAAAATATGTCCCAAGTGGCAGAAACACAATACTTAGTTCACTGCCATCTCTTTCTGCCTGAAGGAGAGGGAGAGAGAAGAAAAGGGAGTGGGGGAGGGAGGAGGGGAGAGACTGATTTTGCAAAGTAGATAGTGGCTTTGTGTGACTGAAACCAAACAAAACACAAACAATGGCTGGATCACTATGACAACAGAGGCCATGCCTTCCTTGGTTTCAGGGAAACTTTGGCAGCTGGCTGCAATCTGAAGTGTTTGCTTTGCTACCTTGTGTGCCTTGGCCATTTAAGAGTTCACTGCTTCTGTGTTCCCCACACAGCATCAGGCCACAGAGCATGAGTAGAGCTTGCTCAGAGTTGAGGCTCTCACAAATGTCAGAAGGAATCGAGGCTCTTTTCCTTCCTGTGAGCCATGAAAACCTGGTGTGGTCATCCTCTTTCCCTTGCTTGCTTCCTCTCTTCCTTCCGTCCCTCCGTCCCTCCCCCTCCTCCCTGTCTTCCTCTTCCCCTTGTATCACTTCCTTTATTTCACTCTTCTTTTCTTGAGAGAAGGTTGCTCCGGCTAGCCTTTGCTCAATGCAGCATTCTAATTCAGCCTTCTGAAAGCTATAATTGCACCTTACACAGCTCCATAGAGGCCAGCTTTCTTAAGCAAGTTACTAGCCAGAGTTAACCTAAACATCCAATTAGTCCTATGATATGTATGTGATTAGCTTCATAGCAGAGATCACAAGACTCAGATTCAGAGAGGTTAAGCAACCTGTATTAAAGTCACAGGAGAGCTTGAATCATGGATGCTCTGAAATCCAATTATATTCTTTCCAGTTTAGCCCTTTCTGTGACTTTCATTTTTTCATTCAAGAGCATGATTTAGGAAAATGATAACTAGGAAACATCATTGTCTAAGAAATATTTTATGAGGGCAAACAACAACAAAGAATAGTACTATTGTTAGTAACCTTCACCTGTATATACAGTGTTTGAACATAAATTAATTCTCTGAACACTTCTGAAAGCTGATAGTTGTATTTGAAAAGCAAATAATGTCTCGCATAGATAGCTCCAAGGAATTTTAATGGAAAGTTGGGTGTGTTATGATATCAGGTCACATTGAAGAAACTGCAACACCATTGGGGGAAAAATGATGGGTTATTTAATCTATAATATGTATTGGTTTTACCTGCAGTTAAAACCAAAGTTGTAAAAGGTTTGTAAAGGTGGGTTGCAAAGGAATGAGTGATTCATGAGTGCACATTACAATATAGTTATCTCAGTAATTTTAGTGTGAATATGTATTCAACTAACAGTCTTCAACTGCTTAGATCAGTCCTTATTGGTGGTGAAAACAAACAGGACTGCTAGAGAGTTGTTGAAACACAATTTATAGACAAAAGGAAATTGCATTAAAATAAAGAATTGAATTCTGTGACGCAGCGTTGCCCTACTCAAGCACTATTGTGAGTTGTATTTCCCCCACAAATCCTGTTTATCCTCTGAGGCCTTCTCCATACTCTCTAGCTCATACCTGACCCCTTGGCCACTCTCTGAGCTACATCTTTCTGAATTAGCATGTGTCAGAATTTTTAGTACACAGTCTACTTTCTCACCTAGAATAGAAGTCTTTTGACCAGGAGCCATGCATTATTCCTTCCTAAATTGTCAAAGCCAGACGCTTTGTTTTGCATGGTGGAAGTCCTACTGACCCCTCCATTCCAGCTCTTATACTAACCCTGATAGCTGTGTGTCAAATGTGGATGCACAGTAGAGCAGAACACTGATGAGACTCATATGTTGTAGGTTGAGTTCACGTGACTGTGAATTCTCCAAGTGCAAGAATCTGATCTCCTTTATGGTTTTTTTTTCTCTTATTGTTATTGTTCTAGAATAAGGCATGGCACATACAGGGCACAGGTGTGGGAGGAAATGAAAGAAGAAATGAAAGGAAAGTAGGAAGAAAGAGAGAAATAGAGAGGAAGAGAGTCTAGAAAAGAGGAAGAATGGGCTTTGGGTGTTGAAGGATGGGGCATGTATGGGTAAGAAGTATGAAGTGAGAGTTACGTGCAAGAGGACATTATCAGCAAGGCCCTAAACCATTCTACTGAAACAAGGAACTGACTTGGGGGACCCTTAGCCATTATGTTCAATGAGCAAAATATGTTTTATGCTCTAGAAGACAAGCTGTAACCATAGCAGTATTGGGGGTAAGAGCAATTTTGGATTAAGGTTAGGGGCAATGGAGTCACTTACATCTGTTGAAGGCTGTAAAAATATATTTTTAAAATAAAGTACTTACAGAAGACAGGCAGTTGTGGCATACATCTTTAATCCTTTAATCCCAGCACTTGGAAGGCAGAGGCAGGCAGATCTCTACGAGTGCAAGGTCACCCTGATTTACAAAGTGAGTTCCAGGACAGCCAGAGCTACATAGAGAAACCCTGTCTCTAAAAACAAACAACAATTTTAAAAAGAAGTACTTAGAGACAGTATCTTGTAAGTTAGATGAGAGGAACACTTAACATTTCTCAAAGAAAAAGTAGTTTGGATACAGATGTAATCACAGGAAATATAGAGTATAGTCTGAGAAAAGTGAGAAATTTAATTATGTAGAAGTTGAAGTTACAAAGTGATAGATAATACAGATGATGCTATGGGTTTCAGAGGCTGAGACAAAAAGGAGAACCAAAGCCTGGGAGGAGCATGGAGTCGAACTCCTAGCAGGGACAAATGCAGGACCACAGCCAGCCCAGGGCAATGGGGAAGGTAATGATGCTGAATTATCACTTTCATTAAGTCGCTTACAATTCTGGATGGTTTTGTTTCTTAAAATATGCATGAGACACAATTATTTCTGTTATAATTATCAAGATATAGGAAGAAACAAAATGATGATTATTAGAATTTTGGGACATTGTCAAGCCTTATACAAGTGGAATTCAGAAATCACAGAAAGAGTTGTATATATTTGCCCATCTTAGGTAGAGATGGTACGTGTCTTTGAGCAGATTTTACTAAGGAATAATACTTATTCATAGCTATTTTCCAAGTAGGGTGGAGGTACAGCTTGGTGCCAGAGTATGGACACTGAGTAGGACTCCTAGCGTGTCATAAAAATGACAGGGAGGGATCGAAGACAGATCAGGCACCAGAGTGATCCAAAGGTATAACATCAATTGGCAAGCTAAGCAATAGTGGAGGGACCACCTCGAATGCCCATTCCTGATAATGAACTTGATGTCTATAACCATCCGGGAGCCTTCATCCTGTGACTGATGGAAGCAGAGGCAAACACACAACTAATCACTGAACTGAACCCAAGGAACCCAGTGACAGAGAGAGAGGAGTGATGAGCAAATTGGCAAAGAATGGGCTGGCAAAACCAGCAGAGACAGCTGATCTGAACAGGGGGAGTGCTCTTGGACCCCAGACCGACAGTGGGGAGGCCAGCATGGGACTGATCTGGACCCCCCAAATGTGAGTGTCAGTGAGAAGGCCTGGGCAATCTATGGGGCCCTGAGCTGTGGATCAATGTCTATCCCTGGTATACAAACTGTCTTCATGTGCCTATAGCACAAAGAGAGATGCTCTCTCAGCCTGGACTCTTAGGGGAGTGCCTTGACCCTACCAAGAGTAAAATGACAGACTCTAGATATCCCCTATGTGGAAGGATTTGGCAATAGCGTGGGAGGGAGGGGGGGAAGGGGAGTGCGGGAAGAGGGGAGGGAGAGGGAACTGGGATTGACATGTAAAACAAGCTATTTAAAATTAAAAAAAAATGACAGGGAGAGGAGTAGAACAAAGCTCTGGAAAAGAGACGGAAACAGAAACAAAACAAATTCTAGGATTAGCTGAGCTTTTTTTTTGTTTTGTTTTTCTGTCAACTGAGCATTTCTACTTTTTTTAATTTAATTTTATTTTATATGTATCTATGTGAGATCCTGTAAAGTTGGAGTACCAGGCAATTGTGAGCTACATGACATGGATGCTAGAACAAAACTCTTCAAGAGCAGCAAGCACTTACAGCCACTAAGCTGTCTAGTTCTATAGCCCACAGTTCAATGACTCCCTGTGTCTGATTTGTTTCATTTGAGGTATGGCACTGGGACGTGTGTTGGGGGGGTGGGAGAATTCTTACCATGGGACTCTCGATGGATGGCCTGGAACTTAGTGTGTAGACTGTATTGGCCTAGAATTTTACAGAGCTTTGCCTGCCTCTGCTGTCTGAGTTCCTGGCCCTCATAACCATCACTATAAAATAATAAGACATTCTTTCTACCTCCTAAACAGATGTGTTCTTCAAGGTTTAGTAAACACAAGAACAGAAGTGGCAATTTGATGAAGAAGGGAGGACTCTGGTGACAGAGCAGGTGGTACTCTCCGTTAGAGCGGAACCTTAAAGAGTTGCATTCAGGTGGAGGAGCTGATCCCTGGTGACCAACAGAAGGACAAAACATTTCCTATTGATTAAGTACATAGTCTGTGGATTCGGGAGAGGGGTGTTTACCTTCAGATAAAGCATCTCCTAACTGTGCTGCTATGTGAACCTTGCCGAAGTTAATTGAGCACTGGCTGTGTCTGTGACATGGTAAGGGAACCTATTTTCTTCTTAGATGTTATTTTTTATTTTATGCATACATTTGTTGTTTTTGTTATTTTATCTGCATGTATACCCGTGCATCATGTGCATGTCTGGTACCCATTAATGCCAGAAAATGGCCTCAGGTTCCCCTAGGACTGGAATCACAGATGATGTGAGTTGCTATGTGGGTGCTGGGCAGTGAGTTCAGGTCCTCTGGAAGACCAGCAAATATTTTCAAATGCTGAACCATCTCTCCAGCCCCTGTTTAATTTATACTTATTATTTTAGATGATTTACTTTTTATAGAGGTTGTGACATGATGAGATGCAAAAAAATAAACACTAGCAAACTGTTAAATCTACTTTAGCCAGTATAAGGACACCCCACATTTTCAAAAAACCTAAAATACAAGAACAGAAAGAAAGA